GGAATCTGCGAGCTGGCCTTGAGTGCTAGGGTGACAACATTGGGGAGGTGTTGCGAAGGGGAGATGGAAGCATGTGGGCAGATGTGGAGGCAAATGAAAATGCTAGCAGAAAACCAAAGGCAATGGAGACGCACTGCTGAAGCCCTATGCTCCTCTAGGAATTAAAGAGAACAACAATAATAATCGACACACTGACTAATCACTGACCATTAAGCCATGTCATATTTCTGGTTTTCTATATTGAAGCTAAATAATTTCTACCACTCAGTTTTTCATCTTCTGTTTTACTACTTCGGGTCCTTTTTAGCTTGTATTCGCATGAAGAAAAAGGTTTCATATAGACTGGCTGTCTTTGTAATGACACATTCACTCCAGGTCTAGGTTTATTGTAGTGAAAGAGATTAGATGAATCACTGCCTCTTCACAGAGGTGAGACCCTGTCAAGAAGGGTCAAAGAACACTATTCAGAGTGGCTGCAAAAAGGAAGTAATGGCCGTATAAAGAGTGCAATAATCGAACATCTCGTCAACACTGGTCATTCCATCTCAACAAACGCCTCCTGCTTCAAAGTAATCTACAAAGTGAAGAACAACCTGCCAAAGGCAATACATTGCCGTCTTCTTTGCATCGCATAAGTCCTGGCCATTCAACTGGAAGAACCAGAACTATGCGTAGAAAAGAAAATTATTTAACCACTTCTACTCTCATGGTAACAATTCGGTTGATTTTACTTAACTTTTGTTTGTATGTTTATTTTTCTAACTACTTAAAAACCCTTGCGTAATTCAGTATGTTATTTTGTTTCCATATACATCTTGAGCACAACTCTTTCATCAAACTGTTCTTTAACAATCGTTCGTGACAACTTATTACTTTTATTACTACCTTCATATATCAACATCCAATTCATCTGAACTTTCTAAATGTATTTTCGTTTGACAAATTTAATGTGTACACACACATACAAAACAACCATGCATATATTTGCGATTGTACAGCTATGAAAATGAATTCGCTGAACTACTGGACCAGTAGTTCGGCGAAGAGTCTCTTTTCGGCGAATTTATTTTGCATAGCTGTACAATCGCAAGTATATATGATTGTTTTGTATGTGTGTGTGTGTGTACATTACGTTTGTCAAACAAAAATGCAGTTAGTTAGATTTGGTTGTAGCCAAGATGGTGAAAATTAGTAAGTTTTTTGATGGAACTACGTATAACAAAAAAGCGTTCAGAGGAATTGTATGTTGATACAATAGGGTTGTAATAATAAAAGTGATGAGTTGGCACAAACGATTGTTAAAGAAGAGTTATGCAATAATATGAATAGTTTGATGTGCTCAGGATGAGCATGGAAACAAAACAACATACAGAATTGCGTAATTCCACGACCTCTGAACTACTGGTATTCTCTCTATTAATAGATGTTTAGGTGAAATTCAATCTACCTTCCATGTTTCGTATTTTCAAGTCAATGTGATTCTCCCTGAGATAATAACGAAAAGGTTATTACATTCCCGTAATGGACTGCCTCGGTCTGTGCTGACGTGTTGGTCAAACGTAAAATTGCTCTTCTGCCATGTCATGTACTTAACTTTATTATATTGGATTTGGGATTTTTATTTTAGAACAGATCGGCACATTATTAACTTTCCAGAGTTACTATGTATGGATTCGATTTGTTTCAAGTATCATCACGAAGTGATAATAGTTTGGGAAACATTTTAAACCAGTGAAGATTACTGAGCAGCTGTTTCGCCCTCCTTTAGGACTCTTTAGTAATATGGATCCACTGAATTTCGAATGCAATACCAAGTACTCTCTGGTTTTCAATGTTTTCACAGTGGGCTACCAGGTAAAAATGATGCCAACGATGACACTGACTGTAGTCACACTAAAATCACAAATTAGAAGAAGTTGGAATTCATGGACGACTAAGTTGGGTTGTGCGTCGGTGGCACAGTAGTTAGGACTCTCGCCGACCGTGCACATGGTCCGGGGTTCAAGCCCACGCCGGCGCACACCTGATATCTATGGTCGGCCTGCAAAATTTGGGCTACCAATATCCATGGTGAAAATTCCATACTTGTACCGAAAATACAGTGTGGAATCAAGCTGTAAATAAAAAAAAAGTACTTCAATGGCCTATGAGCTTTTCTTTTATCCAGAAGGTCCTGGAGTCTCTTCTTGATGGCGCCATAGGTATGTGTCACTCAAGAGTCTGCAACTAGGACGTACCGTCTATTCAGGGCTTCCTTAGCTATAGCAATCCGTGACCAAACTTAAAACTTTACTAACTTCTCTTAATATGTGAGAATAATGTTTCCTGATCACTGAAAAATACAGACTATTAAGTATTGCTAAAATGGACACGTGACAACCGTGGTCATAATTTCACTTCAATCACCATGCGTAATGTCAAGTCCTTACAAGAACCGAATATACATTAACTTTCACTTACGATCACAGCACTAGCTCACCTAAATCTGCGCTTATAAATCCTGAACATACTCACTTAGGAGGGGATGATTTGGTCGGCGACTGGCGGTGAGACTATCTGCAATAATCTAGAACTAGTTGATTGTAATCGATGAAGTGCCTGTTGATAGAAGTTGGATAAATATAAGGAATCACAGTGAGCTTAACAAAATGGAATTATCGGGGTTGGGGGAGAAATTTGTTGGAAAACTACGTTACTAATGAGCTTCTATATTTATATGAAAAGATCAGCTCCCATCGGCAGGGTTCGAACCCAGGACCTTCCATTTACAAGGTAAGCTCGTATACCACTCAGCCACTCGGACCCTACGCAATGGCTCATGAATTCTAACTGCTACCAATTCATAATTTAGCGCGACTCGCATCAACCAGTGTCATGGGCGAGAAATCCATCCTCAGTGGGTGCGTACTGCCAATGACTCCCAAACCAAGCTGATGAAACAGCTGTCCAGTACTCCTGTACTGGTTTTCAATGGTTCTCTAACTGATATCAATCCTTTGTCAAATTCGATTAACAAATCTAATCCTAACAAACCAACTCTTAAAAATAAAATAATATCGTTTGCTGTGATGTGCACTACTTATGGGGAGATATAAGTACTATATCAGATAATGACAAAAACAGGAGCAATATTAACTACAGTGTTAACTGAAAAGCCCCAACAACACAAATCATGGAGCGAAAGTGACAAGCACATGAAGAAAATGAAAAGAAATAACTGAGTAGAATATGCGTGATTTTGATTGGATACTAGGTATTATTAACTGGTATCATACATCTAGTGCTTTTGATTGGTGTATAGTGAATTCTGTCATCAATCAATTTTACAATGTCGACATCATGGTGTACCCTGAATTGTTGTTAGTAAATGTTTGTAGGCAATCTGAAGAAAACCTTAGACTTCAATTTGGGACCTTCTGGCACTCACTGGTCAGCAAAAAGAGTACCTGAATTCTTGAAGGAACTAATGTCCCTTGCCAGATTCGAACCAGGAGTTACACAGCACTGCAGTCAGAGACCTTAGTAATGAGCTATTTGAGATTGGGATTGACCTCCAGTGTGACTGTACTAGAGGCCTTAATTGAACACTAGTAACTAGTGTAATGTGTCTAGTCTAATGTTTACTGTAGACTGAATTCTACCAGTCAGGCTTGTAATGTGGCTTAAATATAAAACTTGGGCACTGTGGTAGAGTATAACTCCATTATAAGTAACAATTTATTTTGATAAATCACACAGTGTAGTACAGCCATATTAACTATCGCTTATAATGATATTTAGTCACTAAAATAACGCTTTACATCATTTATATACATAAATGTGTACAAAATCCTATCTACAATTACAATGTGGCCACCATTCTAGGCAGCTCACCATCACTGTGCATATTGATTTGATGATATTTGGTGTTTGAAGGCAATGGGCAGGAAGCCTCGGATACCAGCTATGTTCTGTGGCAGTTGACACTCACCATCCTTATTCCACCAAGCTTTATAGTTATTGTTCTTCTTGTATTTATAGTCCTCTCGATTTTTGTTTTTATTTGTTAATTTTTTCATAAGTGTGCACATCATTTAAGCTGTGTTATAACTGTTAATTTTGTATTTCCCTCACCGTACTATATCAACAGAACATTAGGTTCAATAATCCATAACATGCTAAAATTTCCAAACTCAATCGACAATACTGTTTGAAACAAACTCACTGTTATTATCATTATATTAAATATTCTCAACGCGTGGTTCGAATATTTTTGATTTTATATCGTAAATGTGGACAAATTCTTCTGGTTAGTCTTGTTTTAATTTTTAATTTTATTCATATTTTAAGTGAGTCAGATGGAATATTGTGACAAATGCTGAGAATTCCATTCTGAATTACAAGTAATTTTTTTGGAATAAAGTAGATTATTATTGTTATTGAAGGAACGCATGTCCCTGCTGAGATTTGGACCCGTGTCAGCCAGTGAGTATGGCAGTGTTAGAGACGTTACCACTGATCTATTCAACCTCACAAATAACCTCCTCTAAGACCATAATAGGCACTTTTACAAGACACTAGTTGGCAACTAAAGTCATGCGTCTAGTTCTTTTGATTAGTACAGACTCAATCCTGTTTCACCCCATTTATCCTGAACGTTGTTAAATAATATTGTAAAACATACATAAATGTGAAAAACCATAGTTATTCTGTAAAAACAGCATCGCATTCAAGCGACGTTAAAAACAGTCGTGTGTGTGTTTATATCCAATATTCACAGTCATGTGCATGGCATTCACAAAAACTTTGATTCAATGTTTGCGCCAAAAATTCATAATCGTTCAATGTTTCAAGAATTATAAGGTTGAATACATGTGTAATAATTGTCAATATTAAATTGTCCAGTGGAAAATTTCAAATCCATTTCCATATATAGAAGGAGTGGTTTTCGAATGGAAGAGGGAATCATATTTTTATTTGAAAATTTACAATAATATCCTTCATATCACCGTTCTTCGCCACTAGAACTTGATGTAATCCCGTAAGAGATTCCTATACAAAATGGAAAAGCAAATCAGAAAACGTGTTCACGTTATTTCTTCAGATGTTCTCAATAAAAAAGGGAATAGCATTTCCAGGAGGATCGTAAAACATCCCAACAGTATTGTGGTATAAAGTTGATTGGACAAATATGGGCAATATTACATGCTTTATTCCCTGGAGAGTAAGCACCGTCACTTCCCTGTCCCTAAGAGTCATTGTGGAATGAGAAGTATAGTTTAAGACATAAAGCTTAAATGGGGTTGTAGATTTCCTAAGATTAATGGGAAATTAACACATAACACAACATGTTAAGAATTATGAAAAAATGGGCAACATGGAAGATACTCAAAAATGTCCAAAGCTACCAGGAAAAAGCTACAAATGAGCTTTGAATTCAAGGGGGATTCATCTACCAACACTGTTGAAAGAAGGTGGTCACCATCCCTGAAAACAAATGTTCCCTGCATAAATGTTGGGAATAACTCAAAGTGAAAGATTTCGCAGTTTACCGACTTTATACGCGCCACTAACCTTGCCTAGTTGACTAGCTTGCTAGTTTTCTAGCCAGTACCAAGCCTGTGTAAAGAGAGAGGGTTGGGCTTGGGGCTAGCAAACCTACACCACAAAACCAATCAAACTGCTAGAGAAACTTCAACGCACAACTACAGGCGAAACGGCTACAGATGTTAAAGTCAGCCAGTCAGAATCATATTGCCAAGATAACCTGAAACCAGTTTGGAAATCTTCTGCACTCAGCTGACATCAAGAGTAAGATTCGGATTTTCAACACCCCTGTCAAGTCGGTCCTTTCATACGGGTCAGAAATTTGATAAGTGTGTCACGAAGAGGACTTCCAAAAGGTTGCACACTTTGAACAATACCTCCCAACTTCTCTGGCTTTATATGGAATATCAAATGGCCAGAAAACGTTTGTGGCAACAAACTGTGACTGGAAAAAAATCAACAGGCGAGAGCCAATCACTCAACAAATATGTGAGAGAAAGTGGAGATGGATTCATCGGGCATACATTGAGGAAACCATCAAATGACATCGCTCACAATGCAGGCTACCACTCAAGCGGAATCCCAATGGGGGATAACGAGTGCATCATCAGTGATAGGGTGACGTTTAGGAGATCATGGCATGCGGAAGGGATGAGAGGCTATGGGGAATAGTGGACCCAGCTTAAAAGGACAGCAGAGTTGAGAAGAAATTGGAGGCGTATTGTTGAAACCGTATATTCCACTCGGAACTCAAGGGAATAATAGTAATAATATGCGTTTTCGGTCCAACTGCTTTTCAAGGAGCTAGCTTATATCGGTTGTTTGACACAAGCTGTGTCTAATAAGGTACAGGAATACTATTTCACCTAGTTATGAAGAGATGGAAGTCAGGCTATAAGAAGCGTGATCATTGAAAATGTGGTCACTTTTGTTAACCTTGTTATCATTACAGTCTCTTCCTACAGTGTAATCTGCTAAGCAAAAATGATTCTGCCCAGTTCATTACATAGTCAGCTCATTTGTATTGCTGAAGCTTTAGCTATCGAAGCAGAAGAAAGTCAGACCCTTGTATACAGAGCAAGTTAATTCAATCCGTGCATCCTTCATGACCTTAATCCATCTACACTTGACTACTATAATTTTTTGAATGTGGTATTATCATAATTTTCACTTTATTGCGTAATGCCTTCATCGCCTATTCATCTAAATATTTCTACAAACCCCTTTGGGATTTATATATACCTATATGTATATATGATTGTAGAGCTTGATAACAAATTCGTTGGAAAGAGAGTCCCTGATGAATCACCTGAAATGATTTTCCATATTTCCTCATAGGGATTTCCCGAATTGGGTAACGCTTCATCGCCGTGCACTTCATATTATTGTAAGATGATTGCAAATGATTGGTGCGAAGCACTTCTAAGCTAGATTTCATACGAGTTGACACTCATCAATAACACATGTCTGCCACCTCCAAAGAAGAGATGATTGTTCTGTAGCGGGAGCCTTCCTGAACAACTTCACGGTGATTTCTGTGAATGCAATACTGTCAGACGTCTGTTCAAATGAACTTCCCGTACTTCATGCATATAGACAAATTTTGCTGAAGGTTACCAGGAAGCAACTGAAACTAAGGTCCGGGATCTTCTGTTGATTAATTTTCAACCATATTATATGATCCAGTGACATGGATTTAGTTTCTTGCTGCCGTTTAAACACTGGACTTAGAGATACTCCATTTCAAGAAGCAGATAGATAGATTAAGGCGTAACATAGAAAGCAGTACAGATTTAAAGCTATCGAATATTGGAAGACTTCCAGATACGAGCTGAGATCCCATCAGGCTGATTTCTTATATACTCAACATTCTCAAACTAGGTGTCAAAAAAACTGCCATCAAAATAATTCATTAAACTTACAAGACGCTGCTCAGATAACTGTAATACAAATAGTATGAATGGAACAAAGATTTAATTTAACATTCTAGCAAATATAAAATCAAAACAAAATGTATAAAAAATACTCACCTCTCTTTAGCGCGCCACATTTCTTTACCAAGCAATTAGAGACATTTTTAATCCTTAACTTTCCGACTAGAACATACAGCTTCAACCCAGAACTTTGAACTTTTGATACTTGTGGATACTTTTTACTTTTACAGTGTTGGGTTGATAGTCTTATATTCAGCCTTCAATCTCCATGGGCTTTAGAAGCGGCTTAGCAACGTGTAAGAGTGCGTCAGTAGCGGAGGATCGAATCCTAGACTACTTGAGGCGTGGTTAGCTAGCATTCTGTGGTAGAACCACCAATTGATAATTCCATGAAAACGGGTGACCAAACACCTTTAGATTATTATCAGAGCAAATTAACTAAAAAGCCACCTTTATTCCGCATGATTTGCTGTTAATATCTTCTATATTCTGGTAAGTGGATCATTATGGGGAGAAATAATGCGATTCAGAGGGATTTTCATGTTTGGGACATAAATGGTTAATAGGCATCGTCTAGTTCTTTGAGCAGGATGGTCTATGCCTTCATTCATTGTAATTCTGTCCAATACCTCCAGTGATGACCTTAATTATGAGTGAGCTTCACGACGTCTCCATGGAAGAAGAAATATGCATCTCTAATACTCAATCTGACTATCAGTGCCTGTCCTCTGAGACTCTGAAATGTATTCGCTCACTATTCGTTGAACATTGATCGTTTTAAAGATCTTATTTCTCAACTACTGGCAGTGTAAGTTGTTCTTTATCCACATGCTGGACAATTTCTCTGGCATCCTTTTATGTTTGTGTTCTCTAAGAATTATACATTATTCCCAGTGAATTGATGTCCGTAGCAGTCCGCAAAAACACATGAGCTATCCAAATGAAATTTATTTATCAATTAAGAGTGAGTCATACAATTGCAGAAACTGGAACAACCATTCACATTCATGGTCACCAGGACAGACAATTGTCTCAACTATGAAAAATCATCAAATCTTACTTAATACAGAAGTTAGCATTTACAATGGACAGGGGTAACTTCCCCACAAATAAACCAGCTAGAAGAATAACACAGAGACATCCACCTGAATTGCAAATCTTCGTGTTTATTTCAAAATACTTTGCATATTTATCGACTATGTAAAGTTTCTTGAAAAGACGGTTCATACTTACCACATCACTTCTAACGTTTTCCTATTGAAAAATATGAAGGAAAACATCATCAATAGGATAACGTGTCTATAACTAAAGACTTAACAAACTATTATTATATATGCTAGGTAATGAATCCTATTTACTGATAATTTTCATAACCTTGTCCTTTCCTGATTAAATTTCACAAAAGAAGTCTGGATATCCATGAAGATACGTAGTTGGAAATATATATATATATATATAAGTTTATTATGTAAGATAGTGAATATAAGCCTCCTACCAAAGATCAAATTAAAGAATACTGAAAAGTAGAGATTTAAAACTGTGAAATGGTCGCGCTATGTCATGAATTGGCAGAATTTAGAATTCATGGGCTGTCCATTGAATCTGGTCCCAATGAGTAGCTTAATGGTTTATGAGGCTCGCTAGCCTTGTAACCAGATAGTCCTGAACTCAAACCACGTGGTAGATGTGTGCTGATGAAGAGCCCCGAACTAGGGGGATGAAACAGGTGTCCAACACTCCTAGCTGGTTTTCCAATGGTTCTCTAACTGATGTCAGCTCATGATGAAATTCTCCGTCTAATCAAAATGTGAATTCTTTCTTCTACCATTGTCATGACAGGTACCAATGATAATGCATAACCAAGCAGGTAAGCATAGAATGAGGAATCTAAAGTTCTAATGAGTGTGTGTCACCATCAAGATTCCCTATATAAAATATGAACCAGGTAGAATGAGTTGAAGATGTCATTAGACTACAAGAAGACAAAAGTTAGAATTTATGACTCATTAGACAGCAAAGTGGTGCTATATAACTTGAGCTACAATCTGACAATCTTGATTTATGTTTGTCTTGATTCCACACCGAACTTTTGGTACAGATATGGAATTTTCATCATGTGATATCGGCAGCCCAAATTTCGCAGGTCGACCATGGATATCAGGTGTTCGTCGGCAGGGGATCGAATGCCTGACCATTTGCATGGTTGGCAAGAGTCTTAACCACTGTGTGCCATCGTTGCACCTGGCAAAGTCGTAGGTTTCCACTGCTAAATAAACACTGGCTATGCAGTAATATTAACTGATGACGTTTCAAGCACAAATTATTGTCACTCATAATCATATCACTGCACTCACACAACTTTTTACTCCATTTATATTTTAATTATTTATTTATTTAAACGCAGAAAAAACTTGGTAGAATATGGAGCCAAGAAAGATGCGCCACACAATAATAATAAAATAACATAGATCAAGAGTAAAAAAATATAAGTAGAGAACGGATAAAGAACTTCATCTGGAGGAAAAACAGTCATGCTTAACAAGTTCAAACAGTATTCGTTAACTATCATCGGGAAGGGAAGAAAGAAAGAAATTGCAACACGTTCGCCATTGATTCTTCGCCATATCTGATAACGTTTCGAGCTGTCTCGCGGACCCCGACCAGAGAGTCGTGACACACCAACCGACGCTAATCTAGCACAAAAATCCTTCATCCCACCACGCCACGTCATGGACTGACCACCCCTCCGCCTTTTCCATCCTGTCTTGGGGCTAGCGAACAGAGACCTGTACGGAAGCTACTAGGATGACATTCACAGCACATTTCCAAACCACTTAATCCGGTATTTCCAGATGACGACACTCAGTGATGAATGGTGACCACCACTGTGTTCAAACACACGCCGCCGAACCTCAGAATTACTTACGCGATGATGCAATCGAACGCAAGCAGTTCTGCGGAGACAGCGATGATCGAACACGCAGAGTCACCGAATATCCCCAGTTCGGAGAGGCCAGGTTTCACAGGCGTAGAGCAAGACAGCCTGCACCGAAACATTGTATACCTGACCTTTGACAGTCAGGCCAACGTCGCGTCAGCGCCAGAGGTGGCTCAAGTTGATGTATGCCACCCTAGCCTTCATTATATGATTGGAAATCTCATCCATCACCCATCCGGCAGCACTCACACAACTACCTAGGTACACAAACTTATCAACAACTCCAAGCGGTTCACCTGTAAAAGTGAGTGCAGGTACAGGCTCCTGACAATCTTGTAGCAGTGTAGCAGTACTTTGCACTTAGACGGCGCAAAGCACATACCATACTTACAGACACTGATCGCCAACTGATTAAGTGCGATGTGGGCAGCCTGCATGCTATCGCACAGTAAGACGATATCGTTTGCATACTGGAGGTCGAAAAGTCTATCTCCAAGTAGCAGATCTACACCACTTTCACGCATATCCTTCAGAGCTGACTCCAAAATGGAATCGATGGCAAAGTTAAAAAGAAATGCAAAGATCGGTCAACCCTGTCTAACCCCACTGTTGGTTGGGAACAGTGGTGATAGTTAAATGTATTCCTTCACTCTACCCGAGGTGTTTCTGTATAGGGCTTTCAAGATGTTAACAAGTTTTCTCAGGTACACCTCTAACTAAAAGACAGTTCCAGAGCAAAGTTCTGTCCAACGAATCGAAGGCAGAGCTAATATCTAGAAGCACAACGATCGTTGGCCTGTAATACGTGTGGCAGTGTTCCAACATTTGACGAAGGGTGAACATATGATCAGTGCATCCACGACCTGAACGAAACCCAGCCTGCTCTTCACGAATCAATCCTTCGCATATTTTGCACAGCCCGCGAAGCAAGACAGCAGCCGATAGTTTAGACGCGACTGGTAACAGACATTCATTTATATACATGAGTGGAATTGATGATTAGACATTTGAATAAAAAAATCAATACAGGTTAATGTACATTCAGAAATGAGAATGTGAGTGTAACTGATCAAATATAATCAGACGTGAAATAAGATTATAATAATAACAAAATAATATAATTTACAAAATACACTGAATTCACGGTGAGTTAGGTCAACTACATAGGTCAAGGTACTAGATCAGGAATAGTGAGATTATCAGAACGTATGAATTTAGCTAGGGTTAGAATGATTGATCCCACTTGCAAAGATAAGCAATGTAGACAAAACCTCAGCAATAGCAGTGCATGCATTAACACACAACCACAGAATAGCGCGGTTGGGACAGAGTCGAAATTCTAAAAGGTAATATAGGTAGGTGAGTGAAGAGAGAGATTGATTACTGAATCCTGGTTCATCGAGTCCATACAGAACATTTGCAATAGAAGTGACTCAAGGCAAATACCAGATATTATTACCACCAGTCAGTCAAATCAAAGGAGGATAATAAATAATCTTAAAATGCTACTTCAATTCACATACATCATAAAATTCTATCAAGCTACTCAGTTTTACTATAAAAACATCTTGTATCCCATCTGATTTTACTTGATTGATAACTCTAATATTATTTTGGAATGTACAGAATCTTATATTGATTTTACACAAATGCCTAATAGTGACTTTCACTCATGTATATAAATAAAGCAAGAAAGTTGTGTGAGTAACTTGATATGATTATGAGCAATAGTTGGTGCTCGAAACGTCATCAGTAAATATTACTGCACAACAACACTTTGTAATATATCAAAATAAAATCTTATATATATAAAATTGAGTTATACTCTACCACAGTGGCCAAGTTTTATACTTATATCAATAACCCCAGGCTAGTACAAAATAAATGTTCATTTCTATTTGACCTTCAGTAATTCTGTAAATGGTGTCCTGTAAGTAGACATATCACCTTGAAACACCTACCTCAGGCCTTTTACAAATTTCCTGCAAATGAAAAGGAATGTTGTATTGTGTTATCATTAAAATACATGGATTCAAATCTTACCATCATTTAAGGTGTGAAACAATTATCAGTTTGTCAGGAAACTGGAGAATACGTCATCAGTTTTGATATACACTGTTTCTTGACCATTAGAATATGATCTGATGCCTAAAAGGAATCATCTGCAGCAATGAAATGCCACCAAAGAGTGTACTCATGATATCTAATTAGAATGAAAAGGAATGAACGAAGGCATTCATACATAATTTAATTCAATTTTAGATTTTCCCGTCGATTGATTGGACCAAAGTGCTCGGTCTCAGGCTGACATGTCGGCTTTCTGTGTAGATGCTTCGAGGATGTCTGGTCTTGTAATCAGAAGTTAACGGGTGGTTGGTAAATAGCAGTGGAATCCAGGATAAAGCGCATTTTGTCCTATTTGGGACTCGTCATCTGGATGTACCTACATTACGCAGTGAATGATGATGTTCCCACCGTAGCTTTTGTGGCCCAAGTGGTCTAGTGTATAACACTGGCGTTTGAAACTATGGGTATTGGGTTCGAGCCTCAGTGGGGAAATCATCACTCACTGAGAGATGCAGGTACATCCAGTTGGAGGACGAGTTCCAAATAGGACGAAATGCTCTTTATCCTGGATTCCACTGCCAGTCACCATCCACCATTCATATATAAGTTTGACTATCCGTATTAGGAATTATCAGAAAACGTTAGTGTGATTTTATATGGTATTATATCGGAATTAACATGAAACGTGGTTAAAACAATGGATTTATTAACAGTACGCTGACGCCTAGTCTTTTTTCTTTTATTCCTTTACGTTCCCAGTGGAACATAGTGAGAGCTTCAAGCTTGGAGCTTGAAGTTTCTGAAGCGAAGTAAAGGAGTGTCCTATCGGCAGGGGATCGAACCCTGGACCACGTGCGTGGTCGGCAAGCGTTCTACTGCTGTGACACCGGGGCCCTAATGCTAAGTAGTCACATGTTAAATACATATGAGTCTGAGTTCAGGATTTAATTTATGTGAATATCATGGAACGTCATCCGGAAACCATCTTTTCAAACTTCAACGTTGCTGCTAAAAATGGGAACGATTTATTGCGAAAGAAGAGAGATATTGAAGCTAGTAATTCCATTAACTTAAATGAATAAAGTCCTGGTTTAAAACTTTGCACCACTTACTCTTTCCTGTTGAAAGTAAGTAAAAGTTTGGTAGGCTATAAAAATTCACAACAACCGGTAAAGTGCATACCTATCTTGCGTAGAAGTTGTAGCATGTGCTACTAAAAAGAATTTATCAGTAGTATAATAAAGAGCCATACAAATATCATATAACGGGTAGCTAGATTTGACATCAAAGAGAGAAGGTGAACACAGAATCACACTACAAGGACTACAAGTAGAACAACACAGAAGATCTGTGAAAATGATTTTCTGATAAGATACACATAATTTCCTTATATGTGTATGCAAAATTTCCAATAAACATTCCGTTACAACAGCTGTTGTCTTCTCCCCTTTCCATTTGGCTTCGTTGTCTCCAGACAATGAAGATCCCATAAGCTACTCTTTTCAAAGAAGGAGACATAAGCAGCTTCTTATGCGACTTCAGTATTGTGGCTCAGATACATCTTCATCGAATATTTCAGACTAGCAATGTTAATCGGTAGGTAGTTCAACACGAACTTTCAGAGTTTGTCTAAAATGTCCAATGGAAAAGCAGGTAGCTGTCGGAGGATTTTACTTACCTTCACAGTGACATAGATGTAACAAGGTAAGTTTGATTGTGTCATTGGAATGAAGACTTTAATAGTAATCGTAGAAGCTTTAGCTTTTTGACTATGTTATAATTATTTCCTTTAATTCCTAGAGGAACATAGGGCTTCAGCTGCGCGTCTTCATTGCCTTCGGTTCTCTGCCAACGTTTTCACCCCGCTCCAAGTATGCCCACACACTTTCATCTCCTCTTCACATGACCTCCTCCAAGTCACCCTTGGACGACCAACTCGTCGCTTCCCTTTCGGGTTCCACTCGAGCAGTGGCCTATCTTGTGATGTCACTTGATGGTTTCCTCAGAGTATGGCCAATCCATTCCTATTTCTTCCTGCTTATTTGTTGCACAATCGGTTCCAGGTTGGTTCGCTCATTGCCAGAGATCCCTGTCGCTGATCTTTTCTGACCGGCCATCTGATCTTGAGTACTGAGCGAAGACAGATAGATGTTGATGGATGTCTGTAGTTTGTTTGAGGTGCTCTTTATGAGACTCTGGCCAAGTCTCTGCTCCATATAGTAAGTAGCACTGACTGACTTCACATTGGAGTTGAAAATCCGGATCTTATCTCCATTTTCATGCTGAGTGTTGATCTCCACATAGACTTGAAAGTAATGAAAGCTTATCTTGCTTTTCTGATTCTGGCTTTGATATCCCCGTCAGTTCCGCCTATATTTGAAACGATGCTTCCCAGATGGGTAGGTAAAGGAGGTTACTTCTTACAGATTTCTCCCATTTATGCTGATTTTTGTCTATTGTTGTTGCTGTTGTTCTTAGCCAGGAATCTTCATCACCTCTGTTTTCTCTTTGTTCACTTGAAGTTCTATCTTTGATGCTTCTTCTGCCAACTTGTTGCTTTTCACTTGCATATCTTCTAGTTTGTGGGAAATCAGACATATATCATCGTGGGCGAATTCCAGATCCAAGTTTTGTGTGAGTCCATTTTATGCCTATTTCCTCATTGACCATTGTCTGTCACATTATCCAATCTACTGTAATCAGGAAAATCGTTGGGGATAGTAAACAGCCTCGCCTCACTGCCCTCCCCACTTTGAAGGCATCCGTAAGTTTCCCGTTGTGGATTATTTGGCATGCAGCATTGTCGTATAACTGTTGAATGAGATGCATAATTGTCGATGGCACCTCTTGGTAGTAGCGAAGTAGTTGCCAAATGACCTCTCGATCGACACTGTCGAAGGCCTTTTCAAAGTCGATGAAGTCGAGATAGAGAGGTGACAGCCATTCCAAGCTTTGTTCAATGGTGATCAGTAAGGTAGTGATTTGATCAATACATGATTTGTTTCTCCTGAATCCGGCCTGTTCCGGACGAAGTTTTTCATCTAGTTTGGCTTGTTTGATTCTCTCCAGGATGATACGGCTTAGTATTTTGCTTAGGATGGACAGAAGCATAATTCCGCGCCGGTTTTTGATTATGTACAAGTAGATAATTACTGAAAACCAGCTGGGAGTACTGGACAACTATTTCATCCAAGTTAGGGAATCACTGTCAATAATCATCCACTGGGTTTCGAACGCATTCAGCCACTGCGACTCAATTCAATATCAATAATGAGCTTGCTGTGTAACCGGAAGGTCCTGCGTACCAATCCCATTGGGTGCATACTGCCGACGATTCTCAAAATCCCATCTGGTTTTCCATGATCATCTAACTGACATCAATCCGTGGTCAAAGTTGTAAAAAAAACAAATCTAATCCTTACAAACCAACTTTTGGAAATATATACAGGTAAATAGAAAGCATATTCAGAGGCGTAGTTAGTGTTTACAGTAATCGAGATCAAACATTTATGTTTCTGAGTTTTGTTACAATTCTCAGTGTGCCATTGATTCTCATTTCGAGAAGTGTGTGTAACCAATCTCAAATTATAGCCTTTATTATTATTTATTTTGGATATAATTCAATTGTTGATGGATACAGAAATAACAAGTACATGAATACACATCATGAAATGTAATGCACAAACTTAGTATGACTTCATAATTTCAAAGTAGTGCTTACGCTGAAGGACCACTTCGAATGAAAATGCATTAAAAAAAAAAAGAATTTTTAAACCAATATTTACAACAAAAAAAATCCATAATCAGTCTTTATTTACTAATGTTAACATGTGGTCAAAAAAAATTCTGTTTTAGAATGCAGTTAATGCCACCTGTAACCCTATGATTTGACTTCTTTATTAGCTTTTTTAAACTGGTGGTCTCGACTAAGTCACCATTTGCGTTAATTCGAGGTTTACGGCTAATGTCGTCCTATCTAATCAGTCATCTTCCTTCCGCACATTCAACTTGGTTAACCGCATATATATTTAAATTATTATTTTGTTCTTTTCAATTTGAAGAGTATCATCTCAACAGATGTTATCACAGAAGGGTATACTGGTTGTTCAGTGTCAGCTTTTCGTAAGATTTTGATGAACACAGAAAGTTTGAAGACGATTTGAGTCTGAATTTTAATGAGCTTCCACAGGTATTATTATTATTATTACTCCCTTGAGTTCCTAGGGAAACACAACGCTTCAACAACACATTTCCACTTTCTTCTATCTTTTGCCGTCTTCTCTATCTTAGACCACGATTGCTAACAATCTCTCATCTCCCCCATGCCACCCTCTCATTGACAACCCATTCGTCGCTTTTCACTGAGATTCCACTCAATCGATGGTCTGCATTGCGCGCAATATATCTTTCGACGGCATCCTCAATGTATGCAAGATCGATCCATCTCCATATTCACCCATATATTTGTTGAGCGATCGGCTCTCGCCTGTTGGTTTGTTGGGTGAGCTTTTGTTACTTCTTTCTTTCTGGCCATTTAATCTTCAGTATGGAGCGAAGACAGTTGTTGCTCAGGTATAATATGATCCTATTCTAACTGTTATATCACGGTCTTAAATTCCATATTAGATTGTTTATTAGATGTATCACACACAGTGAGTGAAACAGTATTATTTACTGGATGACACAGTTTCAAACACAATTTATTACTGTTCACAATCATCTCATCAATTATAATCACACGACTTCGAAACTAGAGTTTTCTAGTTTTCTTTGTTCTCTTCTATTTGTCGTAGGGGTAGTAGAATTTTCCAGATGTCCAGATGAGTAGACAGGTGATGAATCATTTTTGCTACAAGTATTTGTAATCGATTCCATGATTAAAGCTTCTGTTATCAATATCCCCCTCCACCCTGTTCCAATATTACATTTTAGAACCGTCAATTTATCCTATCCCATTCTATTGTATGGTTGTGTGTAATTGCACGTAGTGAGTGCTATAGCTGAACTATTCTCTAGATTTCTTATCTTATTCGGGTCAAATAATCTAGATTTTGCTTCGTTTTTATGTTCAGCTGGTCCGAATGCCCCTGTTCCACTTATGTTTTTGACCTTACAATCATTCCAGCAGGGTGATAGATAAACTAAACTGTTTTGTTTTAAAGGCTTCATGGGATTGAGTTCTAATTGAGTTTGTGGGTTTGAATGCCAGGCACTTTTATTCCTGCCTCGTTAAGAATTCTGCGTGAGGTTTCCAAGGCTCCTTCCCTATATGGAATTACTACTGATGATTTAGATTCTTTATTGTTGGTGTTGTCTTGCCCTTGTTTGACACGCATGTCGTAACTGATATTACAACTATTATTATTTATATTATTATTATCACTATAACTACTATCATTATTTATTTTATTTTTATTTTTACATTTCCCTACATACTTTTTGACTCATTTATCAGGGTAATTATTAATTTTCAAAGCTTCTCTTATATGCCTCACTTCCAGTCTTAGATTTTCCTTGGTAATACTTAGTTTTTGTGCTCTATCACATAAACACTTTACCAATCCTGTTTTTACTGACATAGGATGGGATGATCGGAAGTCCAAAAACCTGTTTGAATGTGTGGGTTTCCTATAAACACTACTGTTTAACTTCCTATCTTCTCTCTTTCTTATGATATAATCTTACACTGGAAGCTCCCTTTCGTGACTTTGCAATTCATAAGTGAACTGAATAAGCTCCAAAAAAAAACTATAAAACTCAAGTTTCAAAGTCGTGTGATTATAATTGATGTTGTGATTATGAACAGTAATAAATTATGCTCGAAACTGTGTCATCCAGTAAATAATACTGTTTCACTCACTGTATGATACATCTAATAAACAAACTAATTTGGAATTACTTACTTCCACAGTGCCCAAGTTTTACACATATATTAATTAGCTCATATTATCCTGCTACATTTATGGGCCTTGCTCTGGTCAACCTTCTTCAGGTGGAGAATTGTTTACAACCAAAACAAAACACAAGTTATCCCTGACTTTCATAGTCCGCTAAAATCAACACGTATATCAGGCAATTCATATTACTAAGATCTTAGTTCTCATAACTGTTGTTATTTCGAAAATTCAAAATGTTAACTTACGCTGGGTAACTACTGAATATATCGATAAAATTAAAATAGCATTTCAAACCATTAGTTCCCTTTATGAATTCAGAAAAAGCAATAAAAAGATGTTATTTGTCCCTGATGATTTACAATGAACCTCTTACTGAAATCACCCTAAATAAGGTGCACCTTCAGTAGGATCCAACGAATATTCACCGAATATCCACTTGATGAGGTAGAAAGAAAGTTGACACAAACTCTGGTTGATAAGACTTATCAAGACAGGTTCATCAGGAGATATAAATTAGTCAGAACACCAAGACCTACTCTTTAACTTGCCCCTAAGAAAGACGTGTACATCAAGCTACCCTATATGGGGCATCAAAGCAGCTTGATAACTAGACAAAAATTGAACGCTGTTGTGGTTAAAAAAAGACTTTTTATGCACCTAAGATCATAATAATGGAGAATGTGTTGGCGATATATCCATCTAAGTCCTTTGAACATGCTAAAATGATGTCAAATCCCAATTACCAATTTGAATGTATGTGTAAACACACACACACAGGGAGGACTCATCAATCTCTGCAAGTAAGGCCTGGTTTCAGAAACAAATAGAATCTCCAGAACCCATTAATGCTGATAATATCCAACCTAGCTCCTCTCTTGTGAAACAAATTATAAAGACGGGACACAAAATTGATGTTTCCACACACTTTTTCAAACCTATCTAGAGAACTTATCCTAAAGTGTATGGAAGACCGCCTGTATGCGCCCAAAAGAACAATTCGTCATGACACTAAACCTTCCTGGATAAACTTTATTTTGATGATACTAGGGGAGATGTACTATTACCTCTCTTATTTGATTCAGTAATCTTCAGTGTTATTTTGACCTTTAGTTTGTCCTTTTAAATTGACCTAAGTAGTCTATTTTCTCACCTCTTAACTCTTTTTGTTATCTTCATACAAAGTACGTGGAGTGTGATCAGATTGTTTGAAATTTGTTACGCCAAATATATTAAACACACACGATTCAGACAAATTACGTCTTCTTATTGCTTTGTCTAAATTAAAATATCGACCACTCACTATAGAATAAAAACGGTTAGTTACTCAGTTACTCCCTTCGAAACTTACCTCAGTTTACATCAAGACCTGTGTATTTATTAATTGGTGTCATTACGCTTACCTTGGTGGTTCTCTGAAAATTGTAGTAGAACAAAATAATCGATAAAAAATTTACATTTATATTAACAAAATAAAATTATCGATGACTGTCTAGTCCAGAAAAAGTATTGGTTAATCTGTCTACCAACTGACTGCTCTATTCTTAAATTACAATTCTTGCCAGCTGATCAATAGATGCCTATTGGCAGTATGATAAATCCCATTCATACCCAATTATTCTTAATTCATTGGAACCGTGATTTTCATTAACTTCGTGTATGCATACTATATTCACAATCGATTAACAGATTAAACCACTATTGCCATCTCTTTACAATGATTTGCGCTTCTGTATTTGATCATGTCCTCGACGGACTATAGGAAAATCTGGATGTTGAACGTTCACCGAAACTGGCTGGATTCGGAGGTAGCAAATTATATGCGGATCAAACTTGAACGCTATGTATCATCATCGTGCGTCAGTGGCACAACAGTCGAATGCTCACCAACCACACCTCATGTGGTCCAGGGTTCGATCCTCGTAAAGATGGGAGGTTGGACATGAGGCTAGCAACCCCATTCTCTAAAAATTAAAGCCACTGCTAACGCAACTTTAAAGCTCTAGCTTGAGGCTCTCGCTATGTTCCACTGAGAACGTTTGGGAATAAAAATTACAAAAATATATGTATCATCATCGATTAGGGTATGGAATCGACTTTGGAAGGGCCTTTGACAGCGTTGATGACGTAATTTGTTAACTACTTTAACACTATGGAGTGCACGAAGCTTTAGCCCACCTCATTCAACAGTTATATGATAATGGTACATGTCAGGTGGTCCACAATGTTAAAATCAGCAAAACCTTTGAAGTGAAGAGAGGAGTTAGACATGGCCGCCAACTGTCACTGACGTCACTGCTGATTTTGGAGGACTAGGTCATGCTAAAGAATGTGAGGAGCAAGAAGACAGCAAAAAGTTGGGATGACAAGATGACCACAGAAAATCTGGAATTCGTGGAGGACTTACGTCGAATGTCACAGGAACTCATAGATTTACAGATGTAGAACAACAAGTTGACAGAATAAGTGGCAGGAAAGACTCGACTCCAAATGAATATAGGTAACTTTGAATCAATAATTAAATGCTGGGTTATCTTTGGACAAACAGATTCGATGTGATCCTTTTAGTAACCACTAGGTCATGATAACGTATTTGACGGTTAGTATGCATTCCCGTGCTTCTCGTCTTATGCGACAATGATCAGGCAAAGATATCATTTCTCCAAGACTCTATCCTAATTTTAGTGTCCTAGCCTCACTTAACCTAACACTGAATGAGGCTTATTCATTTTAAACGGTATACGAAGCACTATCTCAGCTCAACTGTTGGTCATTATTATTATTATTATTCCCTTGGGTTCCGAGTGGAACATATTGCTTAAGCAACACATCTTCACTTAGTTCCATTTTCTGTCGTCCTCTTCAGCTGGTTACCTCAAGGATTACCCACAGTCTCTCATCTCCTCTCCCCCACACGATCCCCTCCATGCCACCTGTCACTTCCCACTGTATTTCACTCAAACGATGAGCTGCGTTGGATGTGATATTGAGCGATGCCATTTTCTCTTTTGATAAAAGTCTCCAGTGGCCTACTGAAAACCATTTTCGTGACAAGCAGTGCAAGTTTCTGACCCATATGGAAGAACTGAGTGAATTGACACTGGTTTTGAAAATTCGAATTTTGTTGTTTATGCTGAGGTGGAGTGCAGAAGACTTCCAAAATGGTGTCAGGTTGATGAAGGCGTATCTTGCCGTTCGGACTCTGACTTTGAAGTTCTTTCTGACCTCACGTGGTTGAATCGTTTTTCTCAGAGAGATAACTAAAGCCAGAAAGTAACTTCAATCAAATCTCTCTCGTTGTTGGTGATTTGTGATGGCTTTTGTTGTTATTGTTGCTGCTGTTTGTTGGTTATCTTTGTCACCTCCGTCTTCTCTGTGTTCACCTGGAGTCATTTCTTAGCTGCTAGTCTCTTCTGCCACTTTGTTGCTTTTTGCCTGCGCGAAATCTAGATCTTCTGGAGCTTTTTGTCAGTTCAATGTATTCCTGTCTCCTCGCTTCTCAATGCACAGTCTGATGAATAATCCCGTTCACTACAATTAAGAATATCATAGGTGTTAACAAGTAGGCATTGTCCTAATCCTGTATTCACTTCGAACGCCTTGCTGAATTTTCCATTGTGGATCACCTGACACGTGACACTGTCATACAGCCAGCGATTGAATCAGGTTGACAAAGACTTGGTTGACGTGATTCTTTGTAAAAGCTTCTTTCTAAATCAGCCAACGGAGATAATTAGACTGGAGATATGAATTACAAAATAATCATATTAAATCACTTCGCTTATAAGCTCATAATATTAAACAATTCATAACCTTACACTTGAGGGCGAGGTGGCGCTGGTTCAGCTTTTGGAGCTTGAACTGCAGTTGGAGCTGAAGCTGACCCCATATCTGATGAAAAAGTAAAATTCAGTTAATAATTCAGAAATTTATCAGAACAAATTAAAGCTCAACTTCCAATCTCATTTAATTCTTCCATGTCACATTCACCAACACTTCTGAATAAGCTGTCAGTCTCATTAGTTCTTCCTCATAAAGTGTATTCATATTTGTATTCTTATAACGTTTATGAGTGGTGATAATTTATACAATTTGATAACTGGTACTTATTGTTTTCAATTAGATCTCATCAGGCTTAACTCCAATATACATAACAATTAAAATAAAAATATAAACTAATCATGGTGCTTTGTATATAGGATAATAAGATGGTGAATATAAATTGTGCAATAAGTCATAATAGTAGTAATAATTGTATCAGTAACAAGGATGAAAAGTGAGGCAATCTGTGATAACACGAATAATGAAAAAAACAGCATGATTAAACCAACAAATGTTGAGGTAGATGTAGTAGTCAATAAAGGCTAGGAAAAACAAATGAAGCGATTACGTAATGATAGATTGTAAGGGAAGTAAATAAAATATGTTTTTAGTGGAGATGTGACAAGATTAACGGATGATAAAAGAGGGGTTGAAAATATAAGTAAGAGGTGGTGGAGAAGCCATCAGTTGGTTAGGTTTTAATAGGTCAACAAAGCAGGGATAATGGCTGGCAAGAACTTCTTTTGAATGTATAGTTTAGGCTTAATAGTTGTTCGAATACCTATTGCCTCAGGTGTGTACAGTGGACGGCTACAAAATCTACTGGAAAGATTCGGTGGGATACAATGAATTACCTTGAAAGCTGTCGTTTTCTCGACACTACATAACCACTGGCAATTAAATATGACAAAATTGAGCTATGAATTGTTTTTGTCTATCCTTTGCCTAACCACTAAGGGAGATGTATACAATTGGTGGATGGTGGCTAGCAGTGGAATCCAGGATAACGCGCATTTCGTCCTGATTGGGACTCGTCATCTGGATGTACCTGCATTTCTCAGTGAGTGATGATGTTCCCACCGAGGCTCGAACTCAGTGCCCATAGTTTCAAACGCCAGAGTGTTATCCACTAGACCACTTGGGCCACGAGAGCCACCTCTTGTGCAACAGGTCATATTAATTCGATTCAATAATCACTAAGGGAGATGTTCAATAACAAAACGTTGGCTAAGCTGTCTCGTAGTACGCCCAGCATAACTGTCACTGCAGGTGCAGTTGAAGTGATAAATGCACACAGATGAGGCAAAACCATCTAGATTATCCTTTGTTTACGTCCCAATCACTCGTCGGCTAGAGAATGACAAACATAAATATGCTGCGTAAAACCTTCTTCACATACTCCTGGAAAGTATCTGGAATAAAATCTTATTTAATAAGTCACCATTAAATTGTAACTTAATAAATAGAGGTTTTCTGCCTGATATTTTCATATGTTTCTCGATGAAACTACTCGGATAGCCCAATTGCGTCAAGGAATCGTGAATATATATTCAAATTCCTTTTGTAAGAGGTCATCCGTGCATATTTTTCTTGCTCTGCTTGTAAAACATTTAATAACATTTCTTTTATATTTAATAAGCAAGTATCATACTAGTACTAATCCATTCGCTTTGCTTTAGGATAGGGAAAATTTGTAGTTCTGATTCCGTTGACTCAGAACTTGACTTCTTAAAAGCCACACTCACAGAAAACGGTTACTCAGACCGATTTATTGACAGTAACATGAAAGATAAGCAGTCTAAACTGGTCACTGACTCAGTTCCAAAGAAAAGCTTATTCATGAACTTGGAATTCTAAGGTTATCAGGCTTCAGATATGCTGAAAAATCGTCTCTCAAAATCACTTAGTAAGACGATCTTTGCAGGAAAATTACATATGACGTTCACTAGCCACAGGTTGTTCTCTACCTCTATAAAAGATACGGTCTCCCGTCTGGCTGCCTCCATGTGCATCTATCAGTTCAGGTGCTCTTGTGGAACTAGGTACAATGTCCATAATCAGAAGACGCTTTCCACACGGATGCGAGAACATATTACAGAATGGTTTTACAAGGGAGAAAGGAAGTGTGTGCGGGGCTCTATTCTAGAACACACCTAATAGACTCTTGTCACTCTACCGACCCTGACTTTGATTTTAAGATCATCTACCGAATCCATGCTAACTTGCCGCATTTTCTCTGGTAAAGACTTCTAAAGACAGTAGGGGCGTTGGCCATTCATGAATTCAAGCTAGACTTCTGTGTACAAAAGAAGTATGTACAATCCCTACATCTGCCTTGGCCGTAGAGGGATAGACATTTATTTATTCTGTTTATTTAGTTATTCTATGTACTTTTCCTTTATTACCACGATTATTATTATTATTACCATTCTCACTTTGAATTATTTCCCTCTGTCCCACTTGTCACGCAAAATTATTAATTTTTACATTTTTTATTTTTACCATATTGAATTCTATCTTATCAAATTTCACACCATCTTATGTAACATTTTATATTTGTCTACTAATCTTATAATTATGTACCCCTTTCCAAAATCTATACATCTTATGTATTATTCTATATATGACATTAATTATTTTGCCACTTGACATTAAACTATGATTATAATCACAAATATTTTAATTGCATTTCATACTATTATTATTTCATGTATTCACATCTTTGACTTGATTCCCTCACCGGATATAATTTCTTAGAAAAACCATCCATATATACGATTGTACAGCTCGATAATAAATTCGTTGTTGAAAAGAGTCTCTTCGCTGAATATTCTGTTCTTATTTCTGCATTTCTTTAGTGCATTGTTAAATGTCCAGTTGTCCTCAGCTTTAGTAATACTGGTCTTAACTTATCAGTTTGCAGTGTTAATCGTCAGATTTTTATCACTGGATGCAGAGTTAGGTAGGGTTTTGGTGTACTGTATAATTAACCTTGAATGTTCTTAGATAACTAACTTTAATGACACTTAAAATACGTCCTGGAATCATGGCGACAATGGGGTTAACAAAATTCGCAAAATAAGGAGTTAAACGTAATCCAGAGTAATAAAAATAATAATTCATTCTAGTGGAATGGATAAGCAGCTCTTACCTGATTGCCATTGCACAGTTTCTGTAAACACATAAAAATTAAATCATTGTTAACTGAAATATACTCCGAAATCTGTAATCAACTGATATGCCGGTATAGATCAGATTTTATTTCTATAATTTGGTTTGTAAGGGTTATTTATGTTTTTACAAGTTGATCACGGATTGATATCAGTTAGAGAACCGTTGAAAACCAGGGAGTACTGGACAGCAGCTGTTTCATCAGCCTAGTTTGGGAATCATAGGCAGTACGGAGACTGATCAACTAATAAGAAATAGACCATATAGACAAAATGTCAACACTATCAGGGTGATATGTGCGTTGGTGGCATAGGCGTTAGGACGCTCGCCAACCATGCACATAATCCGTGTTTCGATCCTCCGGCTACTGACACACTCCTTTACCTCGCTAAGCCAATAAACAGAAAGGATTGGGCATAAGGCGCCTAGCAACCCCATTCTGTAAAAATAAACCCTGCTACAGGAACTTCAAGTCTCTAGCTTGAAGACCTATCTATGTTCCACTGGGAACGTGAAGGGCGACACAGTTGTCAATAACAACATGTGTACACAGTATACTGAAAAGATCTCCGGAAACAATCAGTCACATCCCAGGTTACTAGCGCAGATGCTTATCATACTCAATGTGAAAATTACACCTCATACTGAAGTTTACTAAAATGACGTTACTTAGAAAGAAGATGGAAAGTTTGCAGTTGAGCCGCCTGGTTCGAAGAACTCAGCTTTAGCAATGAGTCATACATATATTTCGAAAGATATCAAAACTATTCATGCCAAAATTCATCATAGTATCCTATATTGAAACAAGCAATCAAGGTTAATAAAGCGGGAAGATTTAATAGATTCATCAAATTTCGGTAGAACTTGTCAGCTGAATACTCTACACACACGGATATGTACACTTTTGAAATTACATTGGGAGATATAAGACTGATAAGTAAACAAACTACATTGAATTGGTCATGCAGAAAGACAGGTGCGAATGTTTTCCAGATAAGGAGGGAGAGAGAGAGAGTATGAAAGATCAAAATTAAGATAAATTGCATTACGCTTCAATTACATCACTTAGATAATCACTTAGTCATTAGGGAATATAACGAGAATTGCAAACAGACTAATATCAATAGTAATAGTTTTGAAGTGAGTTAAGATAATCTTACTGATAAAGCATAGTTTTAAATGAATCAAGAATAATAATAATAAGAGGTAGAATAATAAGTAAAATGTATTACCATGGTAGATTAAGAGTAAGGACCATCTCTTTTTGTACACAGACACCTGGTTTATAAATTCGAATTGCACCAACCTCTGCAATTGCAATCATCTTCTTGTTTCTTTGTCTTTGCCTGTCTTTCTGCATGACTAATTCAATGTAGTTTATTTAATTATCAATCTTATATCTCCCAATGTATTTCCAATAGTGTAAATATATCCATGTATGTAGAGTATTCAGCTGACGAGTTCTACCGAAATTTAATGAATTCATTAAATCCTGCTTTATTGCTTGTTTTAAATTCGTATCGGGAAATAATTGTTTTGTATCTTATATTAGTAAACGAACGTAATTCATGATATCATTGTTCACATGGTCAATAATCCATACACATTGTTTAAAAGAGTTTGTGGAACTTACTAGGTGCACCTAAATAATGAGGAAATATTTACTGGAAGTAAATAAGCTAATTATGTATTTTATGTAAGGCTGTCAATCATTTTATAAGACGTACAGCCTTCTGAAGCAGGTTACCTCACTTGCTTAACAATGCGAATGAAATAATCAATAGACAGACATTTAACAGTATATGTCTTTGATGTCTCGAAGGTGGGGACACATGGTCTTCAGGATATAGTCCAAAAACGAATCAACTCAAAATTTCAAATTACACATCATACATTTATATATTACAAGAACATAAGATTGCGGTTATGAGCAAATCTATTCCTAAAATATCTTAGGTTTTTCCTTAAATCAAGCCAATATCAGTTAAAAATGTACGTCTATTATGATAAGATTGTGTATACAGTTAGTGTAGGGTAATGCAAGTGAGGCGAGAAGAGAGAATTAAGTTAGACAGATGAGAGGACACTAAAAGATTTGGACTTTTGTGGACGCCTTTGTGCCTACTTTCAAACAAACTATAACATAGGCCGCGGAATCTGTTCAAAATGATATCGTGTTCGGGAGTAAAAGACAAACTGCCTAATTTCGCCTCATCCATGTGTATCTATCAATTTAACTGCTTCTGTAGAGCCAGTTACATAGGCCGCACAATTAGGCGTATTTCTCATTGAATTTCTGAACATCACTCTGCGGGGTTAAACAAAGGCCAAACAAAATCCATTCGTAGCGCTATTCTGGCTCATCTTGTGGATACAGAACATAAGATTGATGTTGACCGGGCTTTTAGAGTTACTTACCGGATACCAACAAATCTCAACTTCGCCTTAAGAGTTCGATTACTAAATATTGCTGGGCCGGCTGTTGGGATCCACATTAAGAAGCCTAATTTGTGCGTCCGAAAGAAGTTAGTTCAGACACTGTCCTTACCTTGGCCATCTAAGTTTGAATGATCCTCAATTTTTGTGGAAATTTCCTAATTTTATTTGATATTCTGTTGGCTATTATATCTTTATTACTATTATAATTTAAGCATCTTTAATGAACTGTAATTCCACTGTGATCTTACTTAACAAATCGATATTATTTAAAAAACACCAATATTGTAATTAACTACCAATCTTGAATATTTTGCGTATATAAACATATACGTATATAATTGTAGAGCCAGAAGAGGAATTTATCGAAAATAACATTCTTTGCTCGATTATTTTGTGTTTTATAGATGTCTGAATGAATATTTTTGCTATATGGTGTTATCAATCAAATAAAATCAGATGGGAAATAAGACTAGTGTTTTTATGGTAAAATTAATAAAGAGCTTTTTAGAATTATTGAATTGAATTTTTGATTTTCCCGTCGATTGTTTGGACCGAAGTGCTCGGTCTCAGGTTGACATGTCGGCTTCTGTCGAAGCATCTGCACAAGAAGCCGACATGTCAACCTGAGACCGAGCACTTCGGTCCAAACAATCGACGGGAAAATCAAAAATTCAATTCAATAATTAATATGACCCGTTGCACAAGAGGTGGCTCTCGTGGCCCAAGTGGTCTAGTGGATAACGCTTTGGCGTTTGAAACTATGGGTACTGGGTTCGAGCTTCGGTGGGAACGTCATCACTCACTGAGAAATGCAGGTACGTCCAGCTGACGAGTCCCAAATAGGACGAAATGCGCATCCTGGATTCCACTGCTAGCCACCATCCACCAATTGTAAGCTTTTTAGAATGTTAGAATGTATGTGAATTGAAATGGAGTCTTAAGGTTATTTACTATCTTCCTTTGATTTGACTGACTGGTGGTAATAATATCTTCCATGCCTACCTCTGGTATTTGCACTGAGTCATTTCTGTTGCATGTGTTGTGTTAGGTGTAAACTCGATGAACCAGGCAGGATTCAGTAATCAATCTCTCTCTTCACTCGCCTACCTATATTACCTTTTAGAATTTTGACTCTGTCCCAACCGCGCTATTCTGTGGTTGTGTGCTAATGCATGCAGTACGATTGCTGAAATTTTTTCTAAATTACTTATCGTCTCAGTGATTGCACTGTGTGCATTACAACACAACCGCACTACAGGGTGAGCTGTATAGAGTCAAAATTGTGAAAAGTAATGTAAGTGGTACATTCGTGTATTTATATCAGATGGATGGGAAAGTTTCGGAATAATTTCCGGTTAAGGGTGAAATTAATAAAGATTACAATTACGAATTAGAATGCCATAATAAACAGGCGGAAGGGCGGATAAAACTCAAACAAAGTAGCATCATAATTACTGAGACGATTGACATACTGTGCAATTTGGGGGGTTAGAAATGTAGAAATAACAAACAATAGACAGGATGTTTGAATAAAAAAAACTAATATGATGAATAATTGTTTACGCAATCAAGGATTAAATATGTAGAAATAGTAAAATGACAAAATAAACACGAAGTTCGGATATGAAAATATGGTAGTGTAAATAGAAGGGATTAAGAAAAACTTTAAAAAATAACATGAATAAACAGAGAGTAAAGATAAGAAAGGCGATGGGATGGTCATTACTAAAAAAACGTACGTGTTTATGATGGCCATGGCAGGGACAGGGCTTGGACGTATTTCTTTTGGATGCAGAGCATGAGTTTGAACTTTTTGATAGCTAGCGCCTCAGCTATGCCGTGATGTCTTGATTTCACTCCCTTTGATAGGTGAATATTCCGTAATATAGTTAGGTGTAGAAAGAAAGAGTGATTACTGAATCCTGCCTGGTTCATCGAGTCTACACCTAACACAACACATGCAACAGAAATGACTCAGTGCAAATACCAGAGATAGGCATGGAAGATATTATCACCACCAGTCAGTCAAATCAGAGGAGGATAATAAATAATCTTAAAATTCTATTTCAATTCACATACATTATAACATTCTAACAAGCTCTTTATTAATTTTACTATAAAAACACTTGTCTTATTTCCCATCTTATTGTAATTAACTGATAACACTAAAATTATTTCCGAAGGTACTGTATCTTATGTTGATACTCATGTATATAAATGTAGCAAGAAAGTTGTGTGAGTAGTACCTTGATATGATTATGAGTAGCAATGATAAATTGTGCTCGAAAGGTGGTCATGAATAAGCATTACTGTTTAACAACACTGTATGATTGATCAAAATAAAATCTTATCTCTAATAGAGTCAAGTCCAAGTTTTATACTTATATCAATTTGTAAAACTAAGTTGATTTTCAACTCAACACATATATAGCCATTGAAAACATGATCAACGAGAATTTAAATGAGGAATGATACACTCCAACTCACTTCCACTTGCGTTAACTTCCCTCAGGGAAACAAATAAGCTGATGAAAATGATTAAAAGTATAGAGCTTCTCTGCATTTTTTCACCTAGCTTCTTAATAACTAAACTATATATTCAAAGGCATACACACGTATCTTTATACGCATGCACCTTATCATTATTAGTAGTAGTAGTAGTAAAAATCTATTTGTGTCTAACTAGCGATTAGGCATTCTTAAATAACCAATCAATAATTCAAATATTTGCTTTTCAGTATAAGCTACTACACACTTGTTTACGTCATTCCCAGTAGAATGAGAAAGTGGTAAAGACGCTAACTAACCACATGAATTAGTCATTTTGTGAATAAGCTGTATGTGTATAGACAGATGCAATAAAAAATGACACATATCAGTTAACTAAAACTTCTTAATTCGTTGATGATTGAAATGGGGTGACGTAATAGCATTCTCACAGCATTATATCGAATAAAAAACAGTATGATGTAGGTATTCATTTTGGTGTACTTCACTGATTCACTAGATTACTAGGTGATCGCTTATCCCTAGGAAGAGATGCCAGGCTGGGTTTCGAGCTAAAGACTTGACTTCAGAGAATCAATCCAGTCGCTAGACAAACGAAAAAGCACAGGAAAATTATAAAAGATAAACGAACTCGAAAATAATAGAGAAGATTTATAGCTCAAGTGGATGATTTGCACTTAGTAGTGTTCTCTGTGAAGCTGGTTGGTTTAGTTGCGGCGCAGCTTTCGTCATCCTTCTGGACACCATCTCTTTTCAGTGAAATTTGTAGCGTAAAGTGAAGTGATTTAAATTTTCTAAGAGTGATAAAATCGCGTCTCCCGGTAACCATCTTTACATACATAATGATCATTTTCTATTGACTTGGATTTCGAACTTTCTGAACACATGATCTGCTTTTTATTAGTTCGTAAATTTTGTATATATTAACATGTTTGTCAATCGCTTAATCGTTTGAGTTCCAGGCATCTAGGAATTCCCTGGTGGCACTTTTGGTGTTTCTTCTGTTTAAAATTTTGACAATATCCCAATCAAATTGATGTCCATAAGTATCTACATGTATTGAAATAAAAGAATATATATCATGTCCTTTCAGGGCTGATTTGTGTTGCTGGATTCTGATTCAAAAGGGGCGTCCACTTTGTCCGGTGTCATGTCCATTACAGTTCATACAAATTCACTTTGGAAATGGTATTAATTCTATCTCTTTTTTTCTATTGGATCTGTCGGTTTGCACAATATCAAATTAAGTGATTTGACTGGCTTGTTATCTATGTCTATTTCAAGTTGCTTCAATATTCCGGTTGTTATTTCAAAGATATTTTTTCTGATATATGGTAGGATGGATTTTCTTGTTTTCTTTGATGATGGTTTCTTGCTGGTGTTGTGATTCATTTTTAAACACTTTTTGATGAAGTGTTGTGGATAACAATTCTTTTTGAAGACCGTTAATAAGTATTTTTCTTCCATTCTTTTCAACACCGCTGTGCTCCAGTGTGTTTGAACTCTTTTAAGCAATGTCAGTACACAATTTCTTCTGTACGTAATCGGGTTATTACTACCATAGTTGGGTATCTGGTATGTGTGCGATGATTTTCTATATACTTGTGTTTCTAAATTTCCTGTGTTGGTTCTCCTGATTAAGACATCAAAAAATGAGATTTTGTTACCCGATTCTTCTTCTCGCGTGGTGAATTTGATATCTTCAGATATGTCGTTTGGTAATTTATAGGTATATTCCAAATCATTTTTTTAATTATTATAAATGTATCATCAACGTAACGTACCCAGATTTTTGGTTTGATTATAAGTAGAGCTATTGATTCTAATCTTTGCTTGACAGGCGATCCAGTTGGTGTCCCTTTTTACCTATTCGTATATTTGAGTACTGAAGTGGAATTGTGTTGTAAGGCGAAATTCCAAAGGTTCCATCCAAGTTGAACATTGCGTTCCTATGTTTTCATCACAATAGAGTAATTGTTGCATAGTTTATGTTGCTAGTTTTGGACTTAATGAAGTGGGTATCAAGCTGTGACATCAAAGGACACCACTATTTCATTGTCATTTACTTGAATGTTTTTGATTTTCTCTAAAAATCGGATGGAGGAATTGATGTAATGGTCCCATGATTCTGTTAGGTAATTTAAAAATTCTGATTCTTCACTAGAATCGAAGAGATGAATTGACATGGAGTCATGAAAGGCTCAGGGATACCAGTTAGCTGGGGATTCTACTTTCAGTGACATGGAAGCTCTGACTGCAAACGAAATTAGAACGTATGGCATGAATCTGCCAAAAATGTATGATAGCAGATGAGATGGGAGCATACCTCTCCCCTAATTTGTGAACTGTAGAGTCAACAATCTACCTCATTCATCCAGTAGACAGTCAAGAACACACTAAGGCAGTAGCTATCATGATTTCACCGATAGCATCGAAAGTTATTATGTTATCACAACCAATCCGCTCCAAAAGAATTACACCAAAATTTAACTCAGAATGTAAGAAAGTTAAAATTATTCAATTCAACACTTCATTTCATTTGACGCATACGTCATAAATCGAACGAACTTCATCTTTATCTCAAGAAAGTGGAGATACACCCTGCTAAACACAAAATTCCGAGGGGTAGTAGATGTACGCTGAGACCATTGTCCAGTGTAAAGAACCTTCAAACAACCTGGGGATAGTTCAAAATTCAAGCTGAACACTCAGAAACTGGTTAACAAAGGTCGAAAGGACACCGTCACTGGAGCCATGAGAAAAAAGTTGAAGACATTATGTAGACACCACTGGACAAACCTCTGAAGTGGTCTTCAGTGTGGAGAAGAGACAAGGCAGGTTATACCACTCTTGTCAGACGTGTGAAACTAAGAGAGGGAAGAGGGATGATGAAATACAAGATGGCCTACTTCAGAGATAGATAACAAAAGGATAAGCTAAGAAGAGTGCTAGGAAAGAAGGAGCACAACTTTACGACATGTTGGAAACTGAATCAGAACATGCCGCAGGTAAAACCACCTTGAACCGATTACCACCTCCAAAGGGTCCAGAAATACTAATAACATCCATGAAGCTACTAGTGAACGTCAATCCTCCAACTAAATCAAATTTCCTGAACGCCATAAAGACAAATACGGGTGTATATCCTCCGAGAGGACTGGGAGGGAACCTAGAGACCCCAGGAGTTATCTTCACTCTAGTATTGCGGAAATTTCGTGAAGATTTCAAGAAGGGCTACTAGCAAATATGAGTGAAATCAGGCATTGCAAACACCGATGAAAAAATCGTCCCCCTCCCCTTCAAACAAAATATTGAGTCACGTCTTCCTAGAGAGAGTTAGATTTGCTGTGAAGGCACAAATCTACACAAAAGAAGCCAGAATCAGGAAGTGATAATCATATTCGGACCGAATCACAACGGTACACTTTATTACCAGACACAGTATACGAAGTGAGTCAAATTTTTACCCCAACTTTATTGACTTTGAAAAGGCCTTTGATGAAAGGATAGACCTACATTATTATTAAATCGGTGTGGAAATTTTCCACACTCAGGATTCGGATCTCAAAAATAATGTCTAGTCATTGCTTCTACATGGTTCAGAGTCATGTTACGTCATCAGAAACATTCCCTACAGGCTACTGTGAATTTTTATCGACAGCTACCTCTTTCGTTCCAAACAGAAAATTAAAGATGGCCAGAAAGGATTGGTAGCATGGAACTCTGTCAAAGAAGCAATCTGTTATGTACTCGTCGCTAAATTATTGTTATGGTCTGGTCGAGAAACTAATAGTCCTGACGCAAGAAGGCGGAAATCAGAAGACCACTAGGTTTGCGATGATACTTCTATTTTCCAAACACAAGGAGAAGCAATAAGTGGTATCACACCAAAAGAAAGTAAGTAAGTCAGTGTAAGTCACACAAGATTGTGAGAACGAAATATATATATAGCAAAATATAACAGACATGTCAACAACCACCATATATGGATATATGTCACCAAGCAACGGACTGTCAACAAACACTCATATTATATATAATATAATATAAGGAGAATATACATTGTTAACGGAGACAAGTTCATACAAGTGAAGTGGTCACAGACTAAGAGAGCAAACAGAAAGAGAGACCAACATACACACACACATAAATATATATATGTGGATATATATCACAATCTATATGCAGAAGAACACCGAGACGGATTGTGTATATATGCTGACAACTCCGCTGAGTGACGTCACACTCCAGACTTTGTATTATGGATCTTGAGTGAGAAACGAGAATTCAGACCTCCCAAAGTAAAGTGCAGGAGATCATCTAAGGAAGAGATGAAGGCTTGTGAATGGTCCTGCAGACAGTAAAGGGGAAAGATATATATAGAAGTGACTGAAATGTTGGTGCGCTGCTGAAGCCCTATTTTATACTAGGGAAGCCAATGTGTTATAATAAAAATAGTCTGCATGGATCATCTTCAAGCGTTAAGATGCTGATCTGCCTAATGAGGTTCGAATTTGCTTGAAAATGGGATTCATTCAGAGACATTATCATTGGACTGTTCAGGCTCACGAATCACCTCATGTATAGCTGCTATGGATATGCTAACTGGCAACTAAGAAGTTACCGACTTTATACTTTTAGTCGTTGACATTGTGAGTTCTCCGCTTCCATTTCTATTACCAACAAATATCACCTTGAATCTCAGTGAAGTACGGATTCATTTTGAACGATTTCCGGCAGTGTGGCGCTTTATAACTTAAAAGCTTGAGATCGCCCGCGCAACACAATAAAACAAAATTTCTATCGTACAGTTGGCTACTCAAACTTCTCAAAATGCAAGGCTTCCAGCAGAACAGCTTCAGAGTACATCTTATATCAGCAAGTTCTGTCATTAAACATTTCACAAATCCGTCCTTCATGCAGAAGTAGAATTCACCAGTCTTGTTGATCAAATACTGTAGCTGGTATAAACAGAAGACTCGTGATATTTAATTAAAACTGGAATATTTTTACTAGAACATGACCAAGATAATAAGTGCTAACCACTTCACTGGA